CAATCCACTCACCTCAGCCTCCCAAAGGCGCGGTATTACAGGCTGAGCCACCGAGCCCGGCTACAGGTCACATTTTAATACTCTAACCACAGCATTTCAGGTTCTTGCGGCGATGAGACAAACAGGCCATCCCTGTGTGGCCACGTCTCCTGAGAGTCCTCGAGCAACTCTTACCGGGATGAACTGCTCCAGTCGGCCCTGGGGAAAGATGCCATACAGTTTGGGCCCAAGTGACCGCTCGGCGAGGATGGCAAACATAACGCTCTCCAGGACCATGGCCTCAGCCCCCTAGAACAGACGAACAGAGCAGTGGTTACTGGGGTTGGCTGCGTGCCGGGGACCAGAAGTGCTCCCACAGGAGCAGTCTCATCCACTCCTCCCAGCAATTCTGTGACATGGGCACCCCCGTTATGGCCACCCCCATTTCTTTTTTGATTTTTGAGATGGAGTCTCACTCTGTTGCCCAGGCTGGAGTGCAGCGGCCGCTCCCAGCCACTGCAACCTCGACCTGCTGGGGTCCAGCGATCCTCCCACCTCAGCCTTCCAAGTAGCTGGAACTACAGGTGCGCGCTACCACGCCTGGCTAATTTTTTGATGTATTGTAGAGATGAGGTCTCGCCAAGTTTCCCAGGCAGGTCTCGAACCCATGGGCTCAGGCAATCCACTCACCTCAGCCTCCCAAAGCGCGGGATTACAGGCTGAGCCATCAAGCCCAGCTCACCCCCATTTCAAATATGCAGAGACAGAGGCTCCAAGGTCACAGATCTCGCTGTCTGCGGGATCTGTGCTCGTGAGCATTACACTAGATTGACGAGATGGAGAACTCGAGTTTAACTAAGGTCATTGGTTCTAAAAATAGCACTGCATCCTCTGTGCCTTCTCTATCTGTTTTCAACCTACACAGAGTCTCACCCTCGGCATCTCATCGAAAGCCTCAATCCCTCCATCCTGGTGAGGACTGACTTGCTTTGGCTGAGATGCCTCACCAAAGTCAAGGACCCTTCAGCCTATGAAACTGGTCGCTGGGTCCAATAAGCCTAAGAATGGCTGGCTCAGGCCCGGGGCCTGTGGGTTTTCAGCCCAAAGAGTGGCTGGCAGGGAGCATGCCAGGTTTCCTGCCCAGCTCGTCCATCCAAACTTCCCTCTGCGGCTACCCGCCTGTTTTCTTGCTAAAACTCTGTCTTTGCTCCCAGTAATGCATGTGGAATCTATCATCATTTTGCCCTCAAAATCCATCCTTTGGCCTCAGTGCAAATTCATTCCTTAGCATTTCCCCCCTAAGCAGCAAATGACAACCTTCGAGTTCCCTCTGTGGGGAGGAAGGAGCGGAAAGAAGTCATTCCCGACCCAAGGGGCCCCCAACCACTCAAAGGGTTTTTACAAACGGGGCCTCCTAGGCCCTCCCCAGTACCTAAATCGAGGTGCCAGCAGGCGTGTTCTGAAAAACTTTCAGATGGTTCTAATTCTCTCCTTGTAAAGAAATGTGCTGTGGGGGAACGTGACCCCAGAGAAACACTGTTTAAATGCACTCACATGAGAAAAATGAACCAAGAAACTAAGAGGTCGACCTCATTAGGACATAATTGTCAGAGCTAGTGAGAAGAAAAGACAGAAAAGCTACGCCCAAAGGATATCAGGCCACAGTAACGTAAAAAGTAATTCACTCCTTTTACAAGTAGCGGGGCAAATAGATCTGCTGGTAATGCCCCCACTTACCACCTAACCATCATCAGTAGTATCCCAGTTACAATCTAACCATCATTTTGTCACGCTCCATCTTTATGAATTGGTGGTTTTACATATAGGACAATACAGACATAGCACTGATCTAACAGGTTAATGGATTTCAGAGCAGCATTTGATATCAGACAGGTTTTCTTCCTTAAGCCCATAGAGAATGAGACCAACACCTAGCATCTCCATTTGGCAAGCTGCTCATTTCATCCTCACCACAAACCCGTCCAGGGGGTGCAGGCACTGCTGGCCCCATCTCACCACAAGACCAGCGTCAGAGAAGCTCTCCAGGCATGTTAAAAGTGGTCTGCGAAGCGTCCTCGAAGGCTCCACTGGGATAGATGCTCCCTGCTCCCCAGAGGGCACATTCCCTGGTACCCAGAGCCCAAGGTGCCCCTTGCACTGTGTGAAATGCACAAGGAAATGGAGGTGGCATCATAAGACAAGGGGGCCAGGGTATCAGTCATTCGTGGCTCATCACAGCCTTTGCCATCTGCAGAATCTCCCACAGAAACCCAGCTCACTCCCAGGCATCTCCAAACAGTCAGACGAGGATCTCTGTCTGGGTGTCCAGAACTATGTCAGATTTAAACTTTGGTTTTCAACTTCCTGACTTTCCACCCTGTGGAATGACTAAGGTACCAGGCATCAGACCGGGCCTGAGTAAAACACAGGCATGTGTCCAATTCTAAGCAGCCCTTAAAGGTAGGAAGCTCACATTTTCTACATGACTTTAAACCTAGAGCAGATTTAAACCCTACTTTATGACTTCCAGAAGTTCAGCATTTCATGTCCACTTGGAACAAGGGATTCTCGGAGTGACTTTATTCACATGTGGCACCGGCACTGGCCAGAATCGCTTCGGGGCTGAGCCAACCCATTCCCAGAAACGCACAGAGAACATGGGAAGAGACTTACAAACTTTCCAGTTCTCTGCAGCATTGTTCTGAACACTGTGAACAAACAAGATCCCTGCGCTGGCGTCACTCTGCAGCTCAGTATGTATTCACAGCAGGAAGAAAGGGGGAGCCGGGCGCGGAGGGGAGGATCTGAGAAGACGAAAGTGAGAGAACACCCGGAACATGGACGGGCAAAGGAGATGGCAGTGGCTGAGCTGAGAACAAGTGCGCCAGCTGCAGTGGTCTTGCCGTCAGCGCTGTCTCCAGACGCCTTCCCACGCACCACCTGAGTGAGTGCGGCAAAGGGCAGGCCTAGACAGGCCCGGTTGCGTCCACCCCCACCCCCCACGGGCTCAGCCACAGCCATGGAAGCACAGCTGGCCACTGCTGAGGGAAAGCCGGCCTACTTTCCCAGAAGAGAGGCTCGGGACCTCAATCTGAAACGGGTCATAAAGATCCGTCCATGCGTTCACCCAGAACCACTTACTGAGTGTTCGCTGTGTGCTGGCCCTGCGCTGAGCAGCAGGGAGCCATCAGAGACACAGAGGGCCCTGCCTGCACGGGGCTTAAGTTCAAGAGCGAGGGAGACAGGACATGACGACACGTGCCACAGGCTGGGCCCGCCTCCGCAAAGGACACAGGAGGTGGCTGACGAGACAGTGTGACAGGAGCGGACATGGGAGCTGGCCTGAGGGTGAGGGGGTCACCTAAGGGCGCACAGAATGGGGAGGGGCCGGCGCTGCTGGAACATGGAAACTGAGGGAAGAGAAGGGAACATGTGGAGACCGGGGGCTGGGGCTTACGAACAGGTCTGGGTCAAACAGCCAAACCCAGAAATCCTCGCAGAGCTGATGATGCCTACAGGGTTTGCAAGCTGGGTGCACAGAAGGAGCCAGGGTCGGACGGGCCAACATCTACAGTTGTAGCACTCAAACTGACCGTGACCATGGCTGTAGACCAACAAGAAGGCGGCTCACTCGGCAGTGCACACCCTCAAACAAGCAGACACAGGCGACACTTACCCTCAACCCTGGGCCAGGCTCTCTGATATCTCCTACTGTTTCATTTTAAAAAGCAATAAAGCCGGGCTCGGTGGCTCAGCCTATAACCCCAGCACATTGGGAGGCCGAGGTGAGTGCATTGCCTGAGCCCGCGGGCTCGAGACCCGCCTGGGCAACTTGGTGAGACCTCATCTCTACAATAAATCAAAAATTAGCCGGGCGTGGTAGCGCGCGCCTGTAGTTCCAGCTACTTGGAAGGTTGAGGCGGAAGGATCAGAAGGATCGCCACTGCACTCCAGTCTAGGCAACAGAGCGAGACTCCAACTAAAAAAAAAAAAAAAAAAGCAATAAAAATGCAAACATCCTCATGCCCTATTAGAGGTTTACAAGCTACCATATGGATAACGGATGTCAACCTGGGCAGCACAAGGAACACCTAGGAGGCCAGGAGGCCAGGGGGTGAGGACGCGACACAGGAGGGGCGCAGTCCTTGGACGGAGGCCGTGAGGATACCCGAGAGGAAGGTGGCACTGGATTTAGCAACGCCGACGTTGCTGGTGGCAAAAACAACAACAGTTTCAAAGGACAGGAGACAGGTGGGAGCCGGCAAAGAGGGACAGAAGAGGGGACGGGAACTGGACAGGAACAGGGGCAGGGGGTTAAATGGACTGCCTCATTTCTTAGAAGAAATTGAAAGCCAGTCTGGAAAGTATCGATATTCTGACCCTGTGGAGCATTTCTGTGGGATTTCAATCCAAAATGCCCAGCCTTAATCGCAAGGAAACAGCAGACCAAGCAAAACTGAAGCAAAGCTCTCCAAAATAACCAGCCGAAGCTCCTCCACGGGGCAAAGTCATCAATAACAAAGAAAGGACCGTTACAGACTGAGAAAGGCCCATCCTGGGCGGGAACAAAAGAAAATGGTGCTGGGACAACCGGTGCAAGTCAAGGCAGGCCAGCAGTCCGGCTCTGATCACCGCACTGCACTGAGGTCCCGGCCCTGCCCTCTGTGCGGTGGTGACATAGGACGTCACGGCGGGGCCGGGGATGGGGGTGTTTGCAAATTTTTCTGTAAGTCTACAATTAGTTTGAAATGAAAAGATAAGCGTAAATTCACATAAGAAACTGAAAGCAAGTCGGGCATGGTGCTCACGCTGTAATCCCAGCACTTTGGGAGGCCGAGGCGAGAGGACTGCCTGAGCCCAGGGGTTTGTGACCAGTCTGGGCAACTTGGCGAGACCTTGTCTCTACAACAACCCTCAAAATTAGCCAGGTGTGGTGGCACACACTTGTAGTTTCAGCTACTTGGAAGGCTGAGGCGGAAGGATCACCTGAACCCAAGAGGTCGAGGCTGCGGTGGCTGTGAGTGTGCCACTGCATGACAGCCTGGGCAACAGAGTAACACGCTGACTCAAGAAAAAAAAAAGGAATAAACTGAAAGCAAAGCAATACAACAAAAAGATGTACTAATTTAGTCTGGTGGGAATGGAGGTGTTTATCCACTATTATCCGTACTTTCCCAGACCTTCCAAGCTTTCTTCCAAAAACAGAGGCTGGGGCGTGAGAAGAGACCAGACACCTCAAGAGTTTGTGCCAGGAAGGACCAGGGCCGGGCCGGGCCGGGCCGGGCTG